TAATATTTGTGTTTTTTATCCTAAGTATATTTGAGTTCCTCCCTGGGGAAATTTGACAAGAGCAACATGGAGAGAAACACATTTGTATTTACTCTTCTACAAAAGATCTCTGGATCAAAGCTTAACCTCAGGTGTTAGGACAGCTGGAGGTATTTGGTTACTGACACTTGAGTAATAAATCTTACAGTGTTTCATATCCTTGAAGTATAAAGAAAAGTTAAAATTGAAATCCATATTATGACCAAGAATCTCTTAGTGAAACAAATGTAAAAGGAACAGGTGGCTTTGTATAAAAGTTAATCCACTTCTACACAGAGGGGAAAAAAAATTCTGTTTCTATACATAAAATTCATCAGAACACTTTATCCCTAGATTGATAAAATCATTTAGTTTTGAAGGATAAATAACTATCTTAAATCAATTTCATGTATTTATAGCTCCTAATTAATGATCCCCAATATCTTTGAATCAATCAAGCTAACATGGCTGTAAGTTAAGTATTTATCATTTTCTCCCTCAGACATAGATGGATATTTGAGTTAGATGAGCTCATGAAAGGAGCCACTGTGCCAGAACTGCAATTATATTTGTAGGGTCATTTAGACTTTACAAGGGCTTACAACCACTGATGACTTTAAAAAGTGCTTCTACTTTGAAGAAATGCTGTGAGAAATAGAGCAAGTATTTTTAGTACTTTACTTTGGGTTTTATTTTTCATTTTTATCGTCAATCATTTGCTATATTTCTCAATATTACCTTGTTGTGAGAGCAGTATAAATTTCATTATAGTACATTAAAATGCCATAAATTCCACTAAAATCAAACATTATTCACAAAGAACAGATCAACAATCATTATGAGTGAATGATACTACCTTGATTATCTTTGATTGCAAAACTTGAGTTGTTTGTGTCTTCCAAAGATAGATTAAAGTAAAAATGGTGATCTTCTATGGATTCATCTCTATCTACCGCACTAATGGTCTGAATTATCTAGAAAAAAAATAGAGACAGATTTTTGTTATTGTTTTTTGGATTCAGGAAAAAGATCATTGCTGTTATTAGTATTAGCTTTGATTAAAATTGCTTTACCAAAATCATTAGGGACATTGCTTAAAATAACTGTCAAATTGGTGGAGATTATTAAAATATTTCTCAAGTTAAAAATATGTTGACTGACTTCTTTCAAAAGAGTATTATGACATTAGATAATAAATTCTTCTTGATGATTCAAGTGAATTTCATAAGCTAAGTTTGTTAGAGGTTCTCAAAGCATTGCTGCTACATCTCAAGACTTCCTCCCACCCGCACTACCTACATTTCTGCCTTCTTTCTTTCATCCTTCCTCATCTGAATGCCAGGCATTGCAATTTGCTAAAGTTATATATTTCCAGCTTATACTGAGAGAAAAACTGTGGTAGAGTTATTGGTTTACCAAAGTATTTACCAAAGTAATGAGGTTTTTAATTGATTTGAGGAAATAATGCATTTAAAGCTTAGGAGCAATGTGCATAATTTCCTTTGACCCATAAAGAGTATTGGCAAAGTGTTCCACATCAAATAAGTTTCTCTCTATATCTCAGATCATAAAACAGTGAAGTAATACAGATATGAACAAATCAGTTCTCAACTAATTCTTTTCTTTCAAGACATAAATGTGTCAGTCAAGTAGTTCATTATTGTCAAAAAAGAGATATGCTGTCAAGATCACATAGTGAGATGGTGATTAATTCTGGAAATTAAAGTGAATTGATTACAGAAGTTATTGTTTTGAATTTTCTAGAATTAAAACGCTTTTAACAATATGTCAAACAAAAATATCCTCAGATGCAAGATGACAGACCCAAATTTATGTTATACTTTAAAAAATAGTTCTCTCTCTACAGGCATAAAAAGCATTATGAAACTAATGTAATTTGTACATTATTTCTCTATATTGATTTTTTTTTCATACTGAAGGGTCATCTTAATCAATGCCTGGTGAGATACTGGCAATAGATCTACATACAGAGATAGATACAGTCTTTTTTTGGACATTAGTTAATTCTTTCTACTTCATATGAGTGTTTTACAAATAACCAAGTTCATGGTCATGTGTACCAACACAACACACACAAATGCATGCACACATATTCACTGTAATCCAGGTACCTCTGCAATGCATCATGCTCTTTCTCACCTGTGGTCTTGGCACATGCTGCTACTTTTGTTTGGAGAGACATTCTCTCAATCATTCCACTTCATGTAGGAAGTTTTACTCAACTTTCAAATTTCAGATTCAGTGTTT